TTTGGAGGGAAAATGGGAATATTTGGAGGAATTGCCCTTGGAAAAGTGGGAGGATTTGGAGGAAAATTCCCATGGAAAAGTGGGAATATTTGGAAAGAAATTCTTTGGAAAATTGGGAATATTTGGAGGGAAATTCCTTTGGAAAATGGGAATATTTGGAGGAGATTCTTTTGGAAAAGTGGGAATATTTGGAGGAAAAATGGGAATATTTGGAGGGAAATTCTTTGGAAAAATGGGAATATTTGGAGGGAAAATGGGAATATTTGGAGGAAATTCTTTTGGAAAATGAGAATATTTGGAAGGAATTCTTGAGGAAAAATGGGAATATTTGGAGGGAAATTCTTTGGAAAATTGGGAATATTTGGAGGAAAAATGGGAATATTTGGAAGGAATTCTTGAGGAAAAACAGGAATATTTGGAGGGAAATTCCATTGGAAAATGGGAATATTTGGAGGAAAAATGGGAATATTTGGAGGGAAATTCTTTTGGAAAATGGGAATATTTGGAGGGAAATTCCCTTGGAAAATGGGAATATTTGGAGGGGAATTCCCTTGGAAAATGGGAATATTTGGAGGGGAATTCCTGTGGAAAATGGGAATATTTGGAAGGAATTCTTGAGGAAAAATGGGAATATTTGGAGGAAAAATGGAAATATTTGGAGGGAAATTCCTTGGAAAATTGGGAATATTTGGAGGAAAAATGGGAATATTTGGAGGGAAATTCCTTTGGAAAATGGGAATATTTGGAGGGAAATTCTTTGGGAAAATGGGAATATTTGGAGGGAAATTTTTTGGGAAAAATGGGAGGATTTGAAAGGAAATTCCATTGGAAAATGGGAATATTTGGAATGAATTCTTGAGGAAAAATGGGAATATTTGGAGGGAAATTCCTTTGGAAATTGGGAATATTTGGAGGGAAATTCTTTTGAAAAATTGGAAGGAAATTCTTTTGGAAAATGGGAATATTTGGAAGGAATTCTTGAGGGAAATGCGAATATTTGGAGGAAATTCCTTTGGGAAAAGTGGGAGGATTTGAAAGGAAATTCCATTGGAAAATGGGAATATTTGGAAGGAATTCTTTTGGAAAATGAGAATATTTGGAGGAAGAATGGGAATATTTGGAGGGAAATTCTTTGGAAAATTGGGAATTTTTGGAGGGAAATTCTTTGGGAAAAGTGGGAGGAAATTCACTTGGAAAATGGGAAGATTTGGAGGGAAATTCTTTGGGAAAAATGGGAATATTTTCAGGAATTCCCTGGCAATTGGCTCCTCACCAGAAGGTGTCCACGAAGGACGTGCTCTCCCTGGTGAACAGCGCACACCAGAATATTCGGATTTTGATCACGTTACAAATTTCCCGCAGTTTCTCCACGGGGAGGCTGCACCAAACCTCGCAGGGATCCACTCCTGCAGGGAAATGGGAATTCCAAAGGGAAAAAATCACTAAAATCCATCTTGATTTCAGGTGTTATAAATATGAAAAGAAATAGAAATAAAATAAATATAATAATCATTCAATAAATGTAATATAACTCAATATATTGGTATATAAATAGCAATAAATATTAAATTAAAGGATGAATTCAGGCATTCCAAAGTGCCAATAAATATTAAAATCAATCATTATTCCAGGCATTATAACTACCAAATAAATACCATTAAATATTAAAAAAAAATTACTGATAAATATACTTAATAGAATTAAATATATTGGTATATAAATACCAATAAATAAGAAAATTAAGGATGAATTCAGGCATTCCAAAGTGTCAATAAATATTAAAATCAATCATTATTCCAGGCATTAAAAATACAAAAAAAACCCCAAAAATATTAAAATAAATAAATAAATAAAATAATTAATAAATATATTTAATAAAATGAAATATATTGGTATATAAATACCAATAAATAATAAAATAAAGGATGAATTCAGGCATTCCAAAGTGCCAATAAACAATAAAATCAATTATTATTCCAGGCATTGTAAATACCAAAAAACCCAATAAATACTTAAATAAGTAAATAAATAAACATTTAAATAAATAATTGATAAATATATATAATAGAATTAAATATATTGGTATATAAATGCCAATAAATATTAAAATCAAGGGTGAATTCAGGCATTCCAAAGGCCAAAAATCACTAAAATCCATCTTTATTTCAGCTGTTATAAATACCAGTCAATATGAAAAGAAATAGAAATAAAATAAATATAATAACAATTAAATTAATATAATATAATGAAATATATTGGTATATAAATAGCAATAAATATTAAATTAAAGGATGAATTCAGGCATTCCAAAGTTCCAATAAATATTAAAATGAAGGGTGAATTCAGGCATTATAAATACCAAATAAACACCATTAAATATTAAAAAATTAATAAAATTACTGATAAATATATTTAATAGAATTAAATATATTTAATAGAATTAAATATATTGGTATATAAATAGCAATAAATATTAAAATCAAGGGTGAATTCAGACATTCCAAAGGGCCAATAAATATTAAAATC